TATCCCATTGTTTTGATATGCATTTCCTTCACAATGAGAGATGTTGAGCATTTTTTCATATGCCTTTTGGATATTTGTATGTCATTTTTAGGGACTGTTTTTTTCAACTCATTATCCTATCTTTTAATAGGGTTGATCATCTTTTTTCCAAACAGCTGCTTGAGTTTCTTGTATATTCTGGTTATCAGTTCCTTATCTGATGCATAATTTACAAAAATATTTTCCCATTCTGAGGGCTGTTGATTCACACTAATTACTGTGCCTTTTGCCATACAGAAACATCTTAGTCTGATGTAATCCCACTTGTCTATTTTGGGGATTATAGACTGTGCTTTGGGGTTTTAAGAAGTCTTTCCCTCTGTCTGGCGAGCGCACGCGCCCTATAGCAAAAACCTCTCCACAAAAAATAATAATAATAATAATAAATTAAAAATAAAAAAAAATCAGTTGACTGTATGTTTGGGAATTTATTTCTGGGGACTCTATTCTGTTCCATTGATTCACATGTCTGTTTCTGTTTCAGTATCATGCTGTCTTTATTACCATAGTTTTGTACTATATTTCTGGGTCAGGGAATGAGATGCTGCCCACTCCACTCTTCTTGTGCAGAATTGCTTTGGCAATACACAGTCTTTTATGATTCCAGACGAATTTTATGATTGTCTTTTCTAGATCTTTGAAGAATGTGTCTGGTATTTTCATTGGGATTGCATTAAATACATAGATTAATTTGGGTAGAATTGCCATTTTGATTATATTAATTCCTCCAATCTGGGAACATGGGATTCCCTTCCACTTTTTTGAGTCATTTTCAATTTCTTATTTCTAGCTTCTCATAGTTTTCCTTGTGAAGGTCTTTCACTTCTTTGATAAAATTTATTCCTAAATATCTTATACTTCTTATGACTAAACTAAATGAAATAACTCCTTTGAGTTCTATCTCAGTCTGCCTGTTGTTCGTATATAGAAATGTTATAGATTTCTGTATATTGATTTTGTATCCTGCAAATTTACTGTATTCATGTATTACTTCCAGAAATTTTTCATGGATACCATTGGATCTTCTATGCATACAATCATGTCATATGCAAATAGAGAGAGGTTCACCTCTGCCTTTCCTATTTGAATGCCTTTTATTTTTTCCTCTTTTCTGATTGCATTGGCGAGGACTTCCAGTAATATATTGAAAAGGAGTGGAGAAAGTGGGTATCCTAATCTCGTATCCATTTTTAGAGAAAAATCTTTCGCCTTTTCTCCATTCAGGATGATGTTCACTATGTGTTTTTCAAGATAGCTTTTATTATGTTGATAAATGACCCTTCTATGCTGATATTGCTGACAGTCTTGATCATGAAGGGATGTTGCTTTTTGTCAAATGCTTTTTGTGCATTAATTTACATGATCATATCTTTTGATCTTTCTTCCTGTTAATATGGTGTATTACATTTATGGTTTTGTGTTTGTTGAACCAGCCTTGCATTCCTGGAATAAAGACTTCCTGATCATGATGTATAATCTTTTTTATAAGTTGTTGGATATGATTTTCTAGTATCTTGTTGAGAATCTTTGTGACTATATTCATCAGGGATATTGATCTATAGTTTTCCTTCCTTGCCCTGTCCTTATCTGTTTTAAGGATAAGGGTGATAGAAACTTTATAGAATGAATTAGGGAGAGATTCACCCTTTCAGATCTTTAGAAATAACTTGAGAAGAATGGGGGTTAACTCTTCTTTTAAAATTTTATAAAATTCAGGGGTGAAGCCATCAGGGCTTTTCTTTGTTGGGGGGTTATTTATTACTGATTCAATCTCCTGGCTTGTTTTGGGCCTATTTAGAATTTGTATATCCTCCTGGCTCAATTTTGGTAGATTATATGTGTTCAGGAATTTGTCCATCTCATAGAGATTGTCTTGTTTCTTTCGCATATAGTTGTTCATAGAATTCTCTAATGATGTTTTGTATTTCTATTTTCTCTGTTGTTATATTGCCTGCTTCATTGCAGATTTGATTCACCTGGTTTCTTTCTCTCCTTAATAAGTTTTTTTAGTGGTGTATTGATTTTGTTTTTCTTTAAAAAGAACCAGCTTTTACTTTCATTTATTTTCTGTATAGTTTGTTTCTTTTCTATTTCATTTATTTCTGCTTGTATCTTCATTATTTCCTTTCTTCTGGAGTTTTCTGGATTTTTTTGAAGTTGCTTTTCCAATTCCCTAAAGCATGATGTTATGTCTTCCATTTGCCTTCTTTCCGTCTTCCTCTTATGTGCACTAATTGATATAAACTTCCCTCTTTTGACTGCTTTAGCTGTGTCCCAAAGATTATGAAAACTCATGTCCTCATTGTCATTGGCTTCCAGGAATCTTATGATTTCAGTTTTTTTATTCATTAATAGTTGTTGAGTCATTCAGTTTTAGGTTATTTAGTTTCCATATATTTTAATATTTTTGAGCATTACTCTTGAAATTAAACTTAAGTTTAATTCCATCATGGTCCGAGAAGATGCTGGATATAGTATCTATGCCTTTGAATCTATTGAGGCTTGCTTTGTGCCCTATGACGTGGTCAATCTTCGAAAAAGTTCTATGTGGCGGTGAGAAAAAAAGTGTATCTTGTGGTTTTTGGATAGAACGTTCTATAGATGTCAGTTAAAATCCATTTGATTTATGGTATTATTCATATCCTTTATCTCTTTATCTATTTTTTGTCTAGATGATCTGTCCAGAGGGGATAGTGCAAGAGAGAAACAAGAAGTGTCTTAAAAGGTCATTCCATCATGCTAACACGGGTCCTCTCAATGGAAACGATGCAAGCAAGAAAGAATGGGAAGTTGTATTGAAAATGTTAAGAGAGAAACAATTTCAACCAAGATTATTTTATCCTGCAAGATTACCCTTTATATGGAAAAAAAATGATTAACATCTTCTCAGACAAACAATACCTGAAATAATTTGCCAACACTATACCAGTTCTTCAAGGAACCCTGATGAATGTACTGTTCCAGGAAAACTAAAGAATTAACAGCCAGAAACAAAGGAATAAAAGGCAACTAAGACAATAGCCAACTTAAACATTGGGGCAGATCCAATAACATGGATAATAACATTGAATGTGAATGGATTAAATTCTCCAATCAGAAGACACAGACTGGCTGAATGAATAAAAACCCAGAAACCCTCTATCTGTTGCCTACAGGAAACCCACCTCATGGATAAATGCATACATAGACTGAAAGTGAAGAGTTGGAAAAAGTTTTTCCATGCAAATGGGAACCAAAAAAGAGCTGGAGTTGCGGTACTAATTTCTGACAAAATAGGCTTTAAAACAAAAACTGTTTAAAGAGACAAAGAAGGGCACTATATTATACTAAAAGCATCAATATATCAAAACGATATAACTCTTATAAATATCTATGCACCTAATACAGGAGCACACAAATATGTGAAGGAAAGATGGCTAGATCTAAAAGGGGAGATAGATTTCCATACACTAATTGTTGGAGAAGTCAGAACTTTTAAAAAAGTCTTGTTTGAGTATTTTTATATATGTATTGATATAATACTCTTGATATTAATACAAAACATTTTAGAAAATCTTAGTATACTTTTAATATTAGACAATGTTGATCATATATAAAATTTTCTTTACACGATTTGCTTTTCACAGATTTTGGTCACTATTCTTATAACTGAGCCATAAGAGAACCAAAGATCCTACTTTAAGAAAGTCAGTCTTTAATCTTTTTTGTGTTTATTTTACTCTGAGGCTTACAAAATCCAATTGTTTTACCTATTTCATAACAGAAGGAACCCAATGTTTAACTCCTGAAAATTAATAATAACCCTGATGAATTTACAGATATCAGACTTTGGAAAAAAGGAAGGTAAAGACTCCATTTGCACCCTCATATATAAAGGGCCAGACCCCATTAGCCTAAGCTTTAAGTATCAACCGGATCTAAGAATTGCCTTGATAGGTTTCACCCAGCTTCTGTAGCCTTGCCAATGACTGGTCATTTCTAAGCCCATTGTAAAGAACCGAAATTAGTCATTCTCCCTGCTTGCCCAGAAGGAAAATCTGTGAAAGCTGTGACTGACTTCCAATATAATTAGATTTCTTCTAATTCTGTCAAAACAATGAATAAATTGCTCTTATACTTTTGTATTTATGCTTCCATAGCCCCCCTTCATTTTCTAATAAGTCTGCATCTTGTTCAGCAAAGCATAATGGTTGCAGACTCTGGTTGACTATTTCTTTCCACTGCTGGCCCCACTGAAAAAAATTTACTTTCCCATTTACCAAATCTAGTCTCTCAAGACTGCCCTTTTTTGAGTGGCAGGTAGCATGGAGCTGACTCTTGTTCCTCGAGTCTACAGGCACTTATTCCAGTCTGTCCCAATAGCAACCCTACACTTTTTATTTATTTATTTTGAAATAACCAAGACTCAAATATAATTAGTTTTTATCATATAAAGAAGATGACAAAATATATAAACTTCAAACTTATGCTTAATAATAAATATTTTAGCATTACTTGATAATTTCTAATGTTACCATTAATTGTTCTAACCCTAGGTTTTTATTTAATAGGCATTTTTTTTTTACAATTTCAGCATTTGCTTTTTATTACATCAACATAGCCATTTACAGTTAGTTGCTCTAAAAACTTCAGTTACACACGATGTTCTCAAATCCAGACAGTGTTATAATCCTAGAAAATGTTCAGCTGAACAGTGGGATATTAAAGCACATTGGTGACTCTCTATTCTGAACTTTTCAGTGTGGTCAGATTAATGTACTTTATTTTGGTTCTCTGGCTAGTCATTATTTTTGCTTTAGTAACACCGCCATTTAGCACTCATTACCATTGAGTAACATGATGACATAAAAAAAATTGTCCTTCTGTGTCACATTTAATTGTCAGCGTGCTTACAATGAGAACAAAACTTCATGAAAACATTTCTGTTCAGACTAGTACATTAGAATGGGTCAATATAATTTTCATAAATCTTCTTTCTTTTTTAAGATCATCTGTCTAACCAGATCTGCTATGTCAGGCCTGATAACTTCAATGGGCTCCTCTGGCTTCCAGAACTTCACAACTTGACCCTCATGGTTGACCAGATACTTCCGAAAATTCCACCTTGGTTCCGTTTTTGATGAATCAACAAGAAATCTAAATGCAGGTTCTGCTTCCGATTCTAGAATCTTAATCTTGTGGAAGATGGGAAATGTTACTCCGTAGATTTTTCTCACAAAAGATTCTACTTCCTTGTTGAGACGGGGCTCTGATTCTCCAAACTGATTGCACGGGAAAGCCAAGACGCTGAAGTGGAATGGTTCTAACTCTTTGTGCAGCTCCTTCAGGGCTAAGTAATTTTTGTCTGTGAGTTGGCAGTCACTAGCCACGTTTACAACTAGTGCAACTTTGTCTTTAAACTTTTCCAGAGAAACGATGTTTCTTTTTGCATCCTTCACCTCAAAGGCATAAAAGCTGTTGATTTTCGGTTTTAGAAATTTTAGTTGTAGAAGAAATAACATCGCTTTGCATAGAACCATAGACAACAAAACTGCAAAAACCTTTGCTTTGGGCCCGGAACATTTTAATGAGTAAGTTGTAAGAGGTGCCATTTTGGATGATTCTAGAGGGAAATCCTAGGCATATTTTTTATATTCAATGAGGTAGAAAGTTTGTGTTTCAAAGGCATACAGCAGATATACAGGATAATCAAAAGTGAGAATTATTATGCAGATTAATTGACAAAAGTCAGGTGTCCTTGCTAGATCAAAGAGGGAAAAGCAGTCCCAAAAGGGCATGGTCACATAGCAAATGCTCTTTCTTAATTTTTTTATCCTAATAGTGGGGATTTGGGGACATGAAAACATGGGCCTTTTTTTTTTTTGAGAGGTTTTTGCTATAGGGTGCATGCGGTCGCCAGACAGACAGAGAGAGACAGAGAGACAGAAAGCGAGAAATCACCCCCCAGGGAAGATGGCCACACCGCAATCTCTTCTCCTCCATTCTCCTCTTGGGATCTTGGGCACACATGCACACGCACCTGGCATGAGTTTTAAGTCACAGGGTCCGGGACATGAACCACAGTCGACTACATGGGAATCCAGCAACATAGCCATTACACTAACTGCTGGTCCCAACATGGGCCTTTTTTAAGCTATATGCAAGGGCTGGGATTTGAACAATGTTTGGATTTCTCTAAGCAGAACCCTAAACAACTGTACTATATTGGACTGGCTCAGGTTATACATTTAAACTTGTGCTTTTTCCACTGTAAGAAACTTTAGTGACTTAAAGGAGATATATCAACATGTATGTGGATTTTTTTTCAAGTTCTTTAAAATAGACCACTATATTGCCAGAAAATTATATTTGAAGACCAATTTAATCAATATATGGCTTTTTAAACTCAGCACAGTTCTTAATTAATTACTGATTTTAAGGTGGAGCCCATTAATGAAAGCAAAGAAAGCATTTCTTATGGCTGAATTTTAGCATGGCTATCATTTGGATATCACTGAACAAGAAACAACCCAGTTTGACTGGTAGGTGAATTTTAAACTGCTTTCATAAATCTTTATATCTAGATTTCTTTTGGTTTTGGTGCAGGCTAGTAACAAAGCAAAAACTTTGGTAGTTTTTTTTTTTTTTTTGTGAGAGATTTTTGTTATACGGATGGTTTTTGCTTTAGGGTGTGCGTGCTTTCCAGAGAGACAGAAAGCGAGAAATTAGTCCCCAAGGGTGATGGCCATGCCACAATCTCTTCTCCTCCATCATCCTCTCAGGATTTTGGGCAAACAAGCACACACAGACCCGGCATAAGTTTTAAGCTGCCATTCCAGGACTCAAACCATAAATGACCACGTGGGAGTCCAGTGACATAACCATTATAACTACTACTGGTCCCACTAGAATTTTATTTTTATGTCACTTAAGCTTTATCTTTTAGAGAATTTTAAAAGAGACAAAATAAAATTACATCTTTTAGAAGCTTCTGCATATCACTGTGCATCCTTAGATAGACCTAAATTGGGAACCCTCAATTTTAACTTTGCTTTTAAAAAAAACAGTGTTGTTTATATAGAATGTTTTTTATAATGGTCATAGAAATTTCAAATAATGTTACTAAGATCTCAACTTTATTTTTAATATTGTAGCTTTCAGAAAGTACTTAGATCTTAAGAGTTAGGAATTTCACTTTTTACATAAGTTTTGAGTCTCTTTAAGCCAAGAAAAACCTAAGTGGGAAATAATTTATCCTGGCTTCAGCTCTGAGCTCTCCTTGACCAATTTAGCCAATTATCTTTCTCTGACTAAGTATGCAAAAAAAAAAAAAAGAAAATAGGATATTAAACATAAAAATCTCACATGATTTTTTTTGTTTGTTTTAAGAAAAACCTGATCTCATTGCATCCACCAGAGTAAAAGCTATTTACTGCTGGTTTCTGTCTGACCAAGCCAGACAACTAGATCCAATCCAATCAATTATCTAATCCAATCCAATCCTGGACCCAGTCAAGTTTCTATTGAAACCCCAAACTTAGTTCAGACCAAAAGTCTCTCAGATTCAAAGAGCTCTAAATACAAGTCCATGGACCTCAGAATTGAGAGAGAACTTACCTATGATCTCCAGTTGCCAACAAGAGAGCAATGAACAATAAAATGCCTGGCAGGTACCTCACTTGGTCACTCACTGCTCCTGGGGGCCACGGGAAGCTCTACTTCAGAACCCACTTCTGACACCAAAACTGTTCAAAAAAAAAAAAAAAGGCAGACAATTTAGAGGAGTTTGAGCAAATTTTAACACAATTCAAATGGGCAGTTTCCCAAATCAACTTCTGAGCAATTCCAGGGAGCCTTGTGGTCACACAGTGTTTTAAGTTCTGTAAAGGGAAAGTGACATTTTCAGGAAAGGAAAAGTGACATACAGAATTGAAAGTGAAGGAGTTAGGTAGAAAAACAATCAAATTGATTACATTCTAACATTTGTCTGCATTAACACAGTTAAAAAGGTGAGACAACTGTGATTGACTGAAGCCTAGATGCTGTAATTGGCTGTAACCTAGCCCTTACAATGTAAAAATGAACCTTGCATTCCAAGCCCCTGAGAAAAAGACATTTTACTTTTAGTTTAAGCCCTCATCAATTTTTAGTTTAGGAAATTCTTTATTTTGCCTTCAACAGAGGGAAATACTTAGCAGAGTGTTGCAGTGGAAGCATGCTGGACCCATAACCTAGATGAGGCTGGCTGGTGGCAGGGTGGTTAAGAGGGCTAAACTCCCACATGGTTAACTGTGGTTCGAGTTCCAGACCTGGTGGCCTTCTCTCTCTTCCTCTCTCTCTCTCATCAATTTTTAAAAATAAGCAAATAAGGTTTTTTAAAAAATCCTTAAAAAAAAAAAGAGTGGTAACTGAGAGCCCATCACTTTTTAGAGGGTCCCTGCTTGGTTTCACCATTTGCAGATGATATAATTGTCTACACAGTAAATCCTAGCAGGTATACTTCCCCTCCCTTCAAAATTCTTGAATTATTAAGTGAGTTCACCAAAGTTACAAGATAAACACACAGAAATACATCTATATATTAGCAATGAACAAACTAAAATTAAAAACACAATAGCAGGGACAGCAGATGTGATAATATTACATCGCAGGACTCCTACGCAGTTGACCATGGTTTGAGTCCTAAATCCAGTGTTTTAAAATTCATGCCAGCTGTGTGTGCATGCTTACCCAAAATCTTGAGAGGATAATGGAGGAGAAGGGATTGTGGTGTGGCCATTCCCCTGGAAGTGATTTCTCACTGTCTCTCTTTCTGTGTATATTTGGTGAGCACACACATCCTATAGCAAAAAACCCTCTCTCTAAAAAGAAAAAAAAAAAAAAAACATGCAATAGCATTTTTTTTTAAATTTTTGCTATAGGGCATATGTGTATACCAGAGAGAGACATAGGGAGACAGAGAAAGTGAGAAATTACCTCCCCAGAAGGATGACCATACCAAAGTCCCTTCTTTTCTATTCTCTTCTTGGGATTTTGATTATGCACCACACATGCAAACAGTGTGATTTTCAAGTCATTGTTCTGGGACTCAAATGGTGGCCAGCCATGTAGGAATCCAGTGCCTAAACCATCACGCCACCTGCTGGCCCTACAAAAGCATTTTTAATTGTTCTAAGAATGTTAAATTGTTAAGTATATATTTATAAAATATATATAGTATCTGTATACTGTAACTTACAAAGTGCTAATGAATTAATTAAAAGGAAAAGTAAATATCAGAAATAATTGGTCATGTATATAAATTGGAATATTCAACTTTTATTTATTTATTTTTCTTTCTTTGGAGAGGTTTTTGCTATAGGGCACATGCACTCGCCAGACAGAGACAGAGAGACAAAAAGCGAGAAGTCATCCCTCAGGGGGGATGGCCACGCCACAATCCCTTTTCCTCCATTCTCCTCTCAGGATCTTGGGCACTCACGTACACGCGTCTGGCATGAGTTTAAGCCACTGGGTCTGGGACTCAAACCGTGGTTGACTACGAGGGAGTCCAATGACATAGTCATTACGCTAACTACTGGTCCCTACATTTTTAAAAATTTTTTTAAGAGAGAGATTTTTGCTAAAGGGTCTGTGAACTTGCTAGAGAGACAGAGAAAAAGGGAGACAGAAAGTGAGAAATAACACCCAGTAGGTATGGACACACCACACTCCATTCTCCTCTTGGACTACTGGACACACATACACACACATGCTGCCAGTGTGAGTTTCAACCTACCAGGTCCAGGACTCAAACTGTGGTCAACTACGTGGGAGTCCAGTGACATAATCATTGTATAAGCTGCTGGTACTGGAATATTCAACATATTAAAGATGCCCAGTTTGGGACCAGCAGTTAGCTTAATGGCTATGTCGCTGGACTCCCACGTAGTTGACCGCGGTTCACGTCCCAGACCCGGTGGCTTAAAACTCACGCCAGGTGCGTGTGCGTGTGTGCCCAAGATCCTGAGAAGAGAATGGAGGAGAAGGGATTGCGGTGTGGTCATCCTCCCTGGGGGGTGATTTCTTGCTTTCTGTCTCTCTGTCTCTCTCTGTCTGTCCAGCGAGCGCATGCACCCTGTAGCGAAAAACCTCTCAAAAAAAAAAAAAAGATGCCCAGCTTAATGTAATTCATTTTAAAATCCCGGAAACATCTTGTCATTGTAATTGATATATACATACTTTTTTAAAAAAATATATGTAATGGTATAAACTCTATATTGGTGAAAAACAATCTAAAAAAATAGCATAAAGTGTGAGAAACCACTCTATATATTACGTATCACTATATAGCTACAGTACTCAATAATACTGTAGTACTAGTGGATAGGTAGACACACATATCAGAGGAACAAAATAGACCCACCTAGAAACAGAAGCACAATCATACAACCAATTGATTTTTTTAACAAAAATGCAAAAACAAGTAGAGAAAAGATAGCATTTTTAATAAATGACACCAGAGAAATTGTATGTTAATAGCAAAACAAAAAATTGAAGTTGGAACTATACCTCACACTACTTACAGAACTACTCAAAATGGATGGGAAAAATTAAGTGAAAAATGTTAAAA